AACCAACAAAACTGGTGAAATATATTAGTGATTTTTGAGTGAATTAGGTTTTGAAAACACGATAAGTATGAAATATAGTTTTAAAAGACAAACTTACGTCGTCGGTGGTATTATTAACCAAGTACACATTTTTAACATAACCGATATTAAAAATAAAGTTAATGCTTTTGAAACAATGTTATTCAATGCTAAATTTAGTATACTAAACTATTTAATAGGACTGCTTGTGAATGTAATAGGTACTTGTTTGGTGACCTGTGTAAGTGACCCTTAACCCGACTCCTGATAAGAAAATATGTTAATGCAAAAAAGGAAAATCCAAAAGCTTTAATACATGATATACTTAAATATTAAACAAGATGCGTAATGACATGTGTATATACAGGATATTGCAAAAGTCTGGCAGCGGAAAATTATTTTTATTCACGGTAAATCACTAAAAGATTCGACTGAAGCAGTCTGATTTAGAGTTACATTTTAAAATTATTTGGCCCACCCGACAAATAACTACTTTCATGTTTTTCGACGTTTCATAATCCCTTGAGTATAAAAACCAGGTCTGCTGTTTTCATTTTGGGACGACGTCATCAATTTTTTGCGAGGGACAAAGAGATAAATTTCGATTAACGACACTCGATGCTTACAATAACCCGAAAACGTAACATTGGGTTTTAGAAGTTTCAAAATTAAGTAGTAAAATATTGTTACACTTTTTGTTCTAAAAATCTCGTTTTCTAGGGTAAAAACTCAAGACGGATTCATAAACCACGAGTGCAACAGTATGTTTGTTATAGAATTTAAATACTCCTAACATGATTACTATTACAAATTTTGAAGATGATGATCATTCCATACAAAATTTAACAAAAATCGGTACAGTAGTTTCGAAAATTATCTGTTTAATAAAAATCGACTCCGAGAGCGGACAGACGGCAGACAGGTACACGGACAGAAAAGAGAGGCCGATTTTTTCAAATTCTAGCAGTTATAGAACGTCAAGAAAACATGAAATTAGCCATTCGTCGGACCTTATTATTACAATACTTTCTTAGCTTATGCTCTGGAAGTAAAAATTGCACTATATAATACACATCCTTTCGTTTGGTACATAAGTATTTACAGATAGGGTAAATGTGTACAAGAGTGCGCATATGTATAAGAGTACGCACTGATGATTTCTGCTTATTAGTGCCATCTGGGTAAGATGAAGTTATACCATTCACAATCCAATGCTAAACTTGAGATAAAGGTGCAACAGTGACCTGTATATAGTTTATAGTTTGATCGTACTGTCGATTTTATGTTTACGCGTTGTGTGGATGTAATTTTTACCGCTCATAGTTTTAGTTTTTTGTAAGGTACGTACCAGTTCTTTTATTTTACAGTAATAATGTTCATTAGCTGTAACCTTTAAGGTGTCGTTATACACTAGCAGTTTTATACTTTCTATACATCAAAAGCTTTTAACTTTGAAAACATTAGGTTATGTACAAATGTACAAGAGTGCGCAATACTTGCGATACGTAGTCTTATACATATGATACTATAATGAATTATGTAACTCTACTACTTTGTACTGCTTCTCAAGTTGTGTGGTGGTGGTTATGGTGATGTTTGTTTTTTAATTTTTATTTCCTGAGCGTAAGCGAATGAAGTATTGTAATCGAGTCCGTCGACAGACTCTACTTTTACGTTTTCTCGAATTTCAAGACCCCTAGAGTACGAAGAAATATGGATCCCGTTGTGTGTGTAGTCTGTAGTCACTTGTCCCTATTTATTTTCACCTTAGAAATAATGATTTTTTTCATAAAATGTAATGCGCACTCATAAGCGTTCAAATGCGCACTCTTGTGCAGTGGACTGTCTAAAAGTGCGCATTTACACATCTTGACAAAAATTGAAATTACTCTTAAAATATAGTGGTCTTGGGACGTACAATTAAATATATCTGATCTCTAAACATGTATATGACGAACCCATATCATAAAATTTATCTATCCAAAAAAATTAAAAAGTTATTGACAGTTTTACACTAAGTGCGTACTCTTGTACACATTTACCCTAAGTTCAGAACCGTACCCATATAAACAATAAATTATAGATTGTTCACCGATAATAATTTATTGAAAACATGTCTAGGTAGATGTACTTTGTAACGGTGATAAAATTCTAGCAACGTCACTTTTCACAAATATGTGCATTAAGTAAAGAAAGATAAATCCTAACTGCGCAATATCACACCCGTGTAAATGATAAATGAAGATTTTCATCGATGATAAACAATTTATTGCAAACACTTCGTAGATAAACACTGGTTTCGTAACAATTTCTTACAAAATATAGATGAATCAGCGACTAAAAAACATGTTGACAAGCAACTTAATTTAATAAAACTAACAAAACTATGGCGAAATGAAATTATAAAATGCAACAATAACCTACTTTACTTTTTGCAATTTAATTTTGAATCTACAAAATCGAATGTTTTACGAAAATGAATGAACGACTGAATTTTTGACTCAGCCTGGTTAAGTAATTCTAAAAACCTATCTGTGTTTATAACTGCATCTTAGTGTATCTTTTATTCATTTTTACTTTTGTTAAATACCGTATACCGGGTGTCCCACGTAACATTTTCGGGCGCAATAACTCAGGTCCTTTTGAAGGGATTTTTATGAAATTTAAAACAGGTGCAATATAACAGGTAAAGATTATGCTGATGACAAAAAAACTATTTTATCGTACAAAAAACGAATTTTAACACAGCTTCAGGTTGTTAAAAATTATGCAAAATTATGTTATAACTTTAAGCAACTAAAATAACGCCTGTGTGTGAAAAATTAAATAAATCACTGTTTTTGTTTAAAAAAAATACGTTAATAAAAAAGCAAAAATTAATTCATTTGTTTTATTAACTTTAATTAATAGTGCTGTCCTGACATTTTTGTCAAGATCTGACAAGTTATTGAAAATGGTTCGCTTTTCTTTAATCTAGGACCCTTATCGAACGGTATCCTGATGACGAATTTACCAAACTCAAAGTACAGAGAATAATAAACTTATTTGAAAATACGGGAAGTGTACAAGACTAAAACGAGTGAAAAAACAGGATGTTAAATACACCTAGGAAAATTATTTCCATTTAAGTTAGAATTAATTCCTGAACCCAAAGCAATTTTGCACCTTCGAAAAGGTTGTACTGGAACAACTGAAAATTAGTACTTTCTTAAAATTCATAAAATGATACTTAGCAAACATGTATCAAATTCCCGCAAGGATGTCCAAAATGTGAGGATATCAGTTTTTTGTTTCATGGCTACCTATCCTTTAATACTTTTTGGAATTATTTGCGCAATAATTTATCGTTTTTTGTCCAACCAGACGTATTTCGGAGATGAATTTTTGCATAAAGTATTTATTTTTAATGTTTAATCGAGTGATGCGAAACTTAATTAATTCAAAATTAAACTAAGGCATGAAAAATTTACTTTTTCGCCTCCTGACATGTAAACAAAACATTCATACACCTTTGACATGCCGCGTAGCAATGACTTTACGCACCAAATATCAATTTACCGTTGCTTTACCGCCTTTGGGTGCCAAAGTAATTCAACATGCATTAGCCTCTAGAAGCTCTAATAAAAAAAGTTCTGTATAAATAATAAAAGAAAACATACTAGAATACTACTTTACATCATGTTTTGTTCGATCAAACCTTTTGAATTAGAAAAAATGAATTATTAAAAAAAAAATCACATGGCGCCATCTCGTGGCTGCCGGTATTATAGATTCCTTCAGTAAACGTCAAGTCTATAAGCTGTCACTTCATTATTGCCATTTCGAAAAATATTTTTAAAAACAAATATTTTTTAAAATAAAATCAATGTCGGCGAAAAAATTTAATACAATTTTCGTGCGTTAGGCATTTTGCAGGTTTCGGTCCCATGCCACCCTCCGCTTCGCGTCGGGTGGCAAATTAGGACCTCAACCTGCAAAATGTTACCTACCGCACTCATAATGTAAATAACTATTTCCAATGTAATGATTATTCTCACCAGTTCATATTAATCCCCACCTATCAAAATACCGACATTTCAAATTTCATAACAATCCTTTCAAAAATACCTGAGTTACTGCGCCCAAAAGTGTTCCGTGGGACACCCGATATATATTAATGACGTGATAAGCTATGTTGATTCTATTTGTTATATATATATGCAGATGATCTAAAACTGGTGAAAATTGCGAAATCTTATTGAGATTGTTTAGATAAAATAATTACATGGTATAGTAATAATGAATTAGGGATTAATATTGATAAATGTAAGGTAAAATGTCCTTTACACGAAAAGTTAATTACATAGACTTTTATTATAATATAACAGGCATACTAACTACTAGAAGGATGTAATCAAATCAAAGGTCTTCGAGTATTACTTACACTAACTTTGTCTTTCAGCTCGCATATTGAACAAATTGTAAATAGTGCATCACTTTATAACTTTTTCTGAATCAACAGATTGATTCTTCTAAATAGGGCAAGTATTTTTTATAAGCAGTATTAATAAATACTTTAGAGTTGAAACGAAAGGTTTGTGAAGAACATGCTTCGCTTTCGGGCTTTAAATCGAATCAGTGTCGGTATTTGTACTTGTGATATTTTCCTAGGCAACATGTTCTCAGGTAACCTCTTAATTTAATCGCGTAAATGAATAGTTCTTATGATATTTTATATGAATGTTTTAAACGTACGATTTTGACAATTTTTGGAAAAACTTAAAAGTTGAAAAATTTTATATTAAAAGGATGTCGTAGATAATTTGAGTCCTTGATAAAGCCCCAGAACAACAAATTCAGAACAGAATTTCCAATTTGTAGTACACATATTTATTTAACACTTCAGTTTGAGATATGTAATTGAAAATGTCACTTGATTTAAAAATTTGTTTATCTTATCAAAAACAAATAACGAATTTATTACCGCCCATATTTAAAAGGATGTTTTTCTCTTACTTGTGTAAAAATAAGTGTGTAGTTAAAAACCTGCGGTCTGTTAGTGACTTAAATTTGAAGAATGGAGAAAATTGAGGTGAGTGTGTTTATTTATTCACACATAGAGGTACACAGAAACCCAAAAACTTGGTTGCTAAGAGTGCAATAATTTTTATTCAAGTGCATTATTAAAATTCTGAATCAACGAATAATATTTTTTTGTGTAATGTTTTTTTTCTGGTTTCACTTTACTTATTTTAAGTCATGATGTTCACAGTTTTCCCCCATTTGCTGTACAGAGTGACAAGAACAATCAACTTTTATAAATTTTATTCACTAAATTAATTTTCACATATTTATATTTTCCAAAAACGTGTATGATATGATCAAAAATATGTCGAAGTCGATGTTTGTTTTTACTTACATTTTAATAGTTGCCGTGTTGTCTTCTTCAAACTTAAATATTATATTTCGAGCTTTCATTTATTTGACGCAAGATGAAGTCTCGAATCGTAGTCTAGTTTTTCTCGATTTAATTTTATTGTTTAAGACATCATGATATTTAAGTTTAAAGGGGACTCCTAGCCGGTAGCCGAAACGTAACAAGATAAAAATGTTTTAGTTTTTTTCATTGACCTCAAAAAAACCACACAAGGTTTACTTCCGTTTTGATCAAATAAAAAAAAACAGAAAATCGTACAACTATTCTTCCACATACGATAAAAATTATTATAAATCGAATAATGGCAAAAATATTGTTAAGTATAGATTAAAATACCAAAAGAATGCTATTACAGTTCAGAATTTTTTTGGTCATGCAAACACAATAATTACGAAATAATTCCTTTTCAAAGCAGTTGTTCGTCTATTCCTTTCCAGACTTTTAAAAAACGGGCCGGAACAACTGACAAAGGCAGAGATTATGAGGATGTGGTTCTCGCCAATGTTGTACTAAGACTATTAAACGACCCCAGAGTAAAAACGTTCCAGATCTCATCAAATGATGATGATTTTGGGGCGTTTGATGATCTGGTCGTTAAGCTTGCATCGGATAAGGAAAACGACATTCAAGTTAAAGCGGTGCAGTTAAAACACACCGAGAGGAAAGTACTCTCTCTCGAAAATTTGCGAGCCGTAAAAGGAGACTTCAGTATTAAAAAATACTACAAAAGTTACACAGAAATTGAGAAACAAATAGATGAACTGATTTTGTTCACAAATAGGCCGTTTAATCCTCCCGACAACGCAACCTTCCAACTTGAGGGCGAAGGCTTTTACGTCAAGCTTACTAAAAGAGAAGTTAGCTCAGACATTTCAGAAAATGTTAGTCACGTTTATCAGTTTGAAATAGTAGATGACCAAACGACAGTGGAGAATTTTCAAAAATATCAGGAGTTTTTTCGCAAGTTTTTTCTCTATACCGACCAAGAAAATTGTGATACTCTGGAAAAAATAACGGCTAACAAATTCAAGACAACATATTGTTCAGATGACGAAACATTCGGTAAATTCCTCAAAACAGTTGCTAAGTGGAACGTCCAAGATGGTAAGAAAGAAAAGATTGATAAAAAATGGGCGCAGCTTGTACTTTCGCTGCACCTTCTGTCCTCTCATACTGAGTCTCTATCTTTCGGTCCAGTTAATGAGAAAATGAAAATTTTTCGGGAAGCGATTTCCTTCTTTGATGTCACACTGATTGAAGACAAATCGGTCGAAACGGTTAAGCAACTGTGGGGTGATGTTGGAAAGGAAAAAACTATTGACTTTAAGGAATTAAATAAAGTTAGAAAGAAATATCTACCTTCTCTCGCACATATTAATGCCACCGACATCGACACCATAGATCCCAAAGCGTTCACTCAACTATTGTGGCTAACGGACGATTGTCCATTAATTTTACGTGAATGGGAAAAGATGAAAAATATATTACAGCTGTGTCCCGATAAAAAATTCGTTTTGGTTGGCGGAACTAAAGATGAGGAATGGATGAAAAAGGATTCCGTGTTTCAAAATTTGTCAGACTTGAGTTTGAAGCCCGAAATTCTAAATATAATGAAAAATTTTACCATTTCCATTCAGGGAAAGGGCGAACTTGATCTTTTAACATCTTTTGGCAGTGATGAAGATATTTTCAAAACTGTTTCAACTGATACCCTCGTCGAAATGCTGAACGGTACATGTTGTGTAGGAGGAACAAAGGAAACACTAGCCGAACCTTATATAGAACGCTATATTTCGCGAAATGTCGTTGATAATACATATTTAGAAAAAGTTCACGAAAACACAATTATTATTTTAAATTCTGCCAATAATTTAGACAAAGTTAAAAGCAAACTCGATAAATGTGAATTAATTGACATTAATAACTTCTTACTGAAAAAAAATCAGAATGCCGAAAATCTAACAAATAATGACGTTAACGTTAATGAACCGAACAGAATTTACGTAGGTAACAGAAAAAAAAAACAGTTAAATTCTAATCTAAACGACAACAAATATAATTCTCGTTTTGATAAATCAAGTTTTGCCAACACAGTTTACGTTGGTTCTAGACATTATAATAACTTCAACAAATTTATAACGAGCACAGAAAGACAAAACAATTTCATTATTTTAAAATTTTGAATGATGGAAATTTAGAATGGCTATGTAGCAGAGGTGATGTTAGTGATGTAGAGCCTTATAAATTGCCTGACGCATATCCTACCGAAGAAAATGACTTGTGGTCTTCTCGGTTAGATTATAACATCAATCTTATAATTGGAGATCCGGGAATGGGTAAAACCGAGTTAGTGAAAAGCTTAAAAAATACATGTTCTCGCGAATATTGGACAGTTTTAATTAATCCCAATGACGTTAATTTATTTTTTCGCAATCACAATTTCTCTAAAACGGAAAATTCTTCAGATTTATTTATAAAATTCATCACAAATAAAAAATATGAGTCGCTCAAAAAAATAGATCTAATGTTTTTCGAAATGTGCATAAAGAAAAACAACGTAATTTACGTGTGGGACGCACTCGATGAAATCTTAAATGATAATTTAGATGCCGCTTTAAATATAATTCTCCATCTTTCAACAAAAGGGTTTCGTCAGTGGGTTACAAGCAGACGTCATTTAAAATCAACTCTAGAAAATAAATTCAATTTGTTGTCACTTAGTATAAATCAATTTAACGAACAAGAACAAGAAAAATATATCAGAAAACGTCTAGAATCTTTTAAGTCAGAATACAACATTGGCGTAACGCTGGAAAAAATTAAATCATCTTTTGCGATTGTAGAACACATAGATATACTAGGTATCCCTCTGCAAATATTCATGCTTACCGAACTGTTCCGTGAAAATAGCGAAAAATATTTGAAACTAATGGACAACACATTCGTTTTGACTGACCTTTACGAATATTTTATTCAGGAAAAATTTAATAACTTTTACAAAAACAAAATGGGATACGATTTAGAAAATCCACAATTGGAAAGTGTAATCAGTCAAAAAAAACTAAAGGCTACAGAATATTACGAAAGTGTGTCCTTTAGAGTAATATTTGACGAAGAAATTACGCAGCGACTGAATATTAATTACAAAAAATGTGCACAAAAACTTTTGCGAAGTTATGCCTCTCTGGGTCTTGTAAATGACTTTCAAAATGATGTTCCACGTTTTGTGCATAGTTCCTTCGCTGAATATCTAGTTGCTAGGTACTTTTCAAAAAATATTAATAATTTTAAAGACACAATTGCGGACTCGTTGTTTGACCCAAGGTATAATAACGTTCGATTCTTTTTTGACATGTTGTTGGCTAAAAACTCAAAAGCTCACATTGCTGTATTGTATAAACGTTACGAATTACTTAAAACATACGACGACGAAATTTTAAATCGCAAAGATAAAGGGGGCAGAAGTGCTTTACACTTGATTTCGTCATGGGGGCAAAGACATCCGCGTATAAAAGTGACCCGTGAAAAGAACAAGTTTATTGTGCACGAAAATAGCAATTTCGATAAAAAAGCGGAAACCAAAATATACTTTGAAACGATGACGTATTTGCAAAATACAAATGATGTTGGCGAACGTGATATGTTGTTAGATGCGACCCCTATGACTTATGCCCGAAAAAGTGAGAGCCTAGGAGCACAAATACAATTACTTCAAACAAAAAAGAATGAGTTGAGGCAATCTCGCGATGACATAATTAATATTATATATTATTCTGCTTTACTGGGTTACGACGACTTGTGTAAACACTTCACAGTGGAAGAGTTGAATAATTTTTGGCGCGATGTGGAAATTGTTGCTGTAGAAAATGCTGAAACACCTCTGTGGCTCGCCTCTGAAAATGGTAATTTAAAAATCGTTGAGTATTTTGTAAGATCTGGTGTCGACATCAACTGTGTTAATATATTCGGTGCGACACCACTTTACGTAGCTTCTTTTAACGGTCACGAAAAAGTTGTCGAATACTTGGCGACAGTCGGCGCCGAAATCAATCGCGCTAATAAAAACGGTGCGACACCACTTTACGTAGCTTCACAAAACGGTCACGAAAAAGTTGTCGAATACTTGGCGACAGTCGGCGCCGAAATCAATCGCGCTATGAATAACGGTCCAACACCACTTTACATAGCTTCCGCAAATGGTCACGAAGAAGTTGTCGAATATTTGGCGACAGTCGGCGCCGAAATCAATCGCGCTACTGATAACGGTTGCACACCACTTTACGCAGCTTCTTTTAACGGTCACGAAAAAGTTGTCGAATACTTGGCGACAGTCGGCGCCGAAATCAATCACGCTATTAACGACCGTTGGACATCACTTTACGCAGCTTCTGACAATGGCCACAAAAAAATTGTCGAATATTTGGCGACAGTCGGTGCTGACATTAATCGCGGGGATATCGACGGTTGGACACCACTTTACGTAGCCACTTTCAACGGCCACGAAAAAGTTGTCGAATACTTGACATCAGTCGGCGCCGAAATCAATCGCGCTGATGATGACGGAAAAACACCACTTGACGTAGCTTCCGAAAAGGGTCACCAAAAAATTGTAGAATGCTTAATAAGAGCCGGCGCTCAAACCGAGCCAGTGGCGTAACAATCATCTACGGGCCTGTGTTCTACAACACTGTGGGGCCCCTAATGAACAGCGAAATAAAAATTATTTAAAAATACGAGTATAATGAGTAAAGTATGAGTATATTGCAATTAGGGCTTACGTTTTGTTAAAATCATTCTACCTGAAACACTGAATTAAAAAACAAAATATAATAACTACCTAAATACATTAATTAAAATATATATTAGAAATAAAAATCCCCTTTTTTTTTCTCAAAATTGTGTTGTTCTTGCTTTCCAATGGGCACAAGTTGATACCTTAGATCATATAATAAATAGATACCAACACGCCGTGTTCTTTCCCTATGAGAACCTGTGACGACATTCTCCTGTCACACATCTCTCTTGTGCATAGAGGGATTACAATGAAGCTATCCTTGCCTGATCACTATTTGAATTTTGCGCGCCTAAATTTTAGGAAGTATGTCTGAACTAACTTCGTACGAAAGATGTTGACAGCTTGATTTTATAAATAATTCACAGTAGATAACGAAAAGAATAGTAAATTATTGGGCAGCGAATGTTATCCGTTATGATTACATCACTTAAAATAGGATCTTTGTTCTAAATTCTAAAATTGTTTTTCTTACAAGAACTCGAAAGAGAGGTTAGAAGAAACATCTGTCAAAAGCGATTTGTTACGGTGGTGCGGTACAAGAATGGAAGTGAAATAGACATATACAAATGAAATACATATAACAAAGATGAAGATGTGGTGATCACACAAGGATAGCTCTGTACTACTCCCCTTGACATAGAAAACGACAACAGATAGCTTCATGTCTAGTCACAGCTTTCAGTTTGAGTATTGGTATCTATTTATTATATGATCTAAGGTTGATACAAGATTTGGCACATCTAAGCTTCTGGCAATTTGATTTTCAAGTGAGATAATAGCCAGTGAAGATAATCTGCATTGGCCCATTGTGTTACTTAAAAAAATTTTAGCCATTTTTAGTTTCGAAAAAGATCTTTCCGTTGAAGCCAGCGAAAGAGGTACCTATTGTAAGAAAAGTGAAACATGTTGTGATAATTTCACTGAAACTATTGCAGGTTCTAGGTACTCATTCTGTAATAATTTGGCGGTCCACTGTTTTTTCTACTTAAAAAATTAGTTGTAAACATACATCAGACATATTTTATTATTCCAAAAAGAGCACCACAAACACAAAATTAAAATAGTTTTGAAAATACGAAAGTTTTCAGAAAACACAACTAAAACTGATTTTTTTTTACGTCTTACAGCATAAAGTTTCACTGAAGATCTGAAGCCAGAATTTAAGTATTTTGTTGTCCTAAATCATAAATTAGTCATACTTTTGTAGGCTAAAGATTGATAATTTACTTAATGAGGTGTTATTAGATTTGCCACAATGGGATTGCGACACTGCGACAAGTTTATTAGAAACAGATGCTGCCGGTCGCTAAAACCCGAGTTTATTGAGTCTATGATACTGAGATGCCGCCAGAAGTCCAGCCCTTTGCAGGAAAAAATCGTAAATAACAATGAAGGATCGATCCTAGGATCACCGCACATTTTCGAATTTTTTATTTCGGGATGTAAATTGCCCAATAATATAAAAAATCAAATAAAAAAAATGTTCGTTTGACCGGACCGGGCCCGTTGAAGAAGCGGGCCCGTGTTCCAGCGAACACATGGAACACCGGTAGTTACGCCACTGAACCGAGCATCATTCCTTTACAAGGGGTAGTAAAAAAAAATTCCCTAAACCGTCCAGATGCACCGTAATGTAGTAAGAAGAATGTTCTTGCTTGAAAATCGTATCTCATTAAATTGAACAAAATACCAACCTAGTTATGTCCTACCTAAAGATTTCAAAGAAAAATGGAAGTTTATTCCGAGGTTTTTAATTAATTTAAATAATAATTTAAAGTCTGGTTAAGTAATGGGTATATGTTTTATTTTGAAAGCAGATATTAATGTCGTGAAAATTTTGACATCGGCAATTTGCAGCGAATATTTTGTCCGTCCTTAACACACAACACGCCCATAAGCTAAATTTGAAAATTATCAAACACTTTAGTTGTAAAAGTAGTGTATACAGAGTCGAATTGCACACAAAATATTAATTAATTAACAGAATTCCATTCACAGATAACTTGTAATATTAATTTCTGGTGGAAAAATATTTTAATATGTTTGACTAGAATTTGAACATGGTCTGAGACAGCTCGCCATACCTTAGTATGCTTAGTTTTCCATAAAGTATAACCAACATTGTAGTTAAAATCAGAAAACTATGGAGCATAGCACTAATTTAAATATTTGCGACAAATCAGACGTATCTTCTACCCGGACAAATGTATTCACTCACTCCAGTATCCTTGATTATAAGTTACTACATTAACTGACAAATAAATCGTTATACCTATTTACTTCTTCTACGTCACTTCATCACGTTTGCTTAATCCTGTGATCACAATTGATTACAAAATAGATCGGAAGTTGTAACTCCAATAAAAAATTGTAATCGATTATCACCTCTTCAGCGTAGGCATTTTAATTTTTGAGTTTAAACAAAAACATGGAAATAGCTATTTATCCAACACCTCTTGATTATAAGGTCATAAAATTGCCAATTTTGGACACATTAGAAGGCCCATAAGTCAATAGTGGAATTATGAATTTATAATTAAACTGTTTTTTCATAATTAAACAGTTTAAAGAAAATTGAACAATTTTATGAACACGAAGGTTAACACATAAAATTAGAATTATATGAATCATTTGTCCAGTTTCAGATTAATATTTATATTGAAAGATAATAAAACATTATTTGCTTCCTGGTTTGTGACTTCAATGTTATTCCCACGTTCATTTGGTCTTGTCTTCTCAATCTCAACAGTGACTGTCTTCTCAGTCTCAACACTGCTTTCCGCTCACGAATTTTCACCCAGGATCTTTTTAGCAATAATCATTTTGGTGGAAATTGACTCTTCAACGTAGCCTTGTGCCACGCTTGTTGATTTCCATCGGCCATGATGTTGGAGCATACTAAGATCAGCTCCAGCATTAGATAGTAAAATTGCTGAAGTGCGTCTCACACTGTGTCCTGTGTACAACTCTGCTTCTGGTAATTTCAAAAAATCTGCTACTACTGATGGTATTTTCGATAAACTATTTATTCCGATTGGTTGTACTGTGCATTTCTCACTTCTGTAGCAAAAAAACAACTTGTTGTGAGAAACATTCTCAGGTCGCAGAGACATATATTTTCTACAAATATCCAGCACATTAACGGAAAATCCTTCTTTCTTGATGGTAGAGCTGCGTGAAACATTTGTTTTTGTATCTGGTACAGATACCAACATATATATCTTTTACGTTATCGATTGACATTGTCACTAATTCATTACATAGACAGCCACCTGATACACCAAAAATTAGTGCCACCTGTAATGTAAAAAATTAAATTACATTCTCAAATAACAAAATCGACTTACCTTCATCATCAAAAGCTTTGTGTTAGATTCCTCTACTAGAGACTGTTGAATATCCTCTCTTTCGAGAACTTTTGCTTTCTTTGGCTTGTGACTTTTAGATTCGTTCATATTGCGAAATATCTGCATTTTCGTGAAGCTTTAATGTCACCCTTAACATGGAATATTTTGTCCACATTGAAGAGGCCGCAACTCTCTTGCTGACGTTAATGAAGTAACCCAAGAGCACGTCTTCGCTTACACCAGAAACATTATTTTCTTGCTTCCAGTTATTGAAGTAATTTAATTCCTTGTAATAAGCGTCCCTGGATTTCTTCGGTAACAAACTCGATGTAGCTTCTTCAACATCTTTCGCAATACTTCCCTCTTTTTCAAAAATTTTCTCAATTTGACGTGAACAAACAATTTGTCGTGACAACCACACGGGAACCAATTCATAGACTACCAGCTGTTAACGATATTGAATTTTTGAGATTTTCATAATGCTTTAAGTACTGTTACTGAAGGAGGTGTTGGATAAAACTATGTATTACAGTCGTGTCTTAACAGCAAATAAGTCGCTTAAGAAAAATTAGGCCACTCGAGCAAGCTCTCGTGCCTGAACATTTCTTTCGCGACTTATTTGCCTTAGAATTAATAACTTGTGTAATAAAGTTATTAATGTCGCTTACAATCACCAATGAAACAAAATTTTTGTAAAAAACATACATAACAATTGTGTTTTCTCTATTATTGAACAAAAAGAACTCCATGCATGGTACCGTTTAGTATTATTTACTGAATCGATTTGTAAGAAGAATACGACAACTAAGAAATGGAAATATTTTTGGGTAAATACGTTATATGTTAGGAAAAAAAAATTATTAAAATTTAATTTTTCAGGATCCGTTCTTCCAGGGCATCCTAAATTATTGGTTGCAAAGGAATAATACAGTTTAGGTATATAATCTATGTTTCCAGGTACTTAGGCCCCATTACGAAATCCAACACAATGATGCGAAATAACGAAGGTAACAAAATAAATCAAAAACTTCCACTATTCATAATTTGGTTTTAGCATTCTAACAAAGTTGGATATATTAATCGGAATTCTCGATAAAACTCTTACAAATATCAAAAGGATAGGAACTGACGATTCGATAAACTGACGTAAGATTTGTGATTCCATGAAGCAACGTTCGAATACAAGACTAAAATTACCAAAATGGGACAATATTTTCGAAGATTCTTTATTATGTGTGAGTAAAATCTGCCATTATTTTTGCTTAATGTTGTGGACGTACTTTGTGCTGTTAAATACTAAATAATAATAATAGTGGGTTTATGTTTGTATATACACTTTTTCAGTGACAGACAAATTATCGGAAATTGACGTTTCTCAAAGAGCCTTCAGCTTAAAACAATCGTGTCATCATCCTTTGGCAGACCGCTTTGCGAATTTCTGTTACTCTAAAAAATTCTGGCTTAAGAGGATTTTTTTGGTTTAAATGTCATGCATGGAAAAGTATTCCAAAAATGTGATACGTCTTCTTTTATCTTATACAAAATGGATGACACGATTTTACGAAGGTATTTTAATCTCAGAGTCAACAAATGAAATACTCAGAGTAACTGTTGAAATATTTTAGGAAACATGGACTCAACCGAGTTCAACGCTTTATTTAAAAAAAAAATGAAATTTCAGCAACAGCTACAAACGTTTTTTGATGTATTTTTTGAACGTGGCAAGTGCACAACGTAATGTTTGGGACTTGGTGTGGACAAATTTTCTGATGAAGACAAGATTTTTGTACTGAAACTTAACGATGGCTTCCCAGCGTAATCGTCTTCCAAAAACCATGAAAAATAATAGGGATTTTTGGAAATTGGCAGAGGTATATTTTTTATGTTCAAATAAAAAATAACTATTTTACTGTTTATTACACAACTGTTATTTCTATTAATAAAAGTTTGTAAAAACTTAAGTCTATTAATAATATATTTTTACAGGAACCGAAGGAAAACCTCTAGTCAAAACGCCCCATCATTCTAACCCAGAAGAAAGTCAAATATGTAAACAATAGTGTGCTACGTACGAGTATATGTAAAAAATCTATATCTGAATATGTGGTATACTTATGTTAAAAAGCACCTTCGAAAAATACCTGTTTTAATCTAGTTACATATGTGCAATTTTTCTAATTTTATAGTAACAACTGTTTATTAAATTAGCTATTATCACACTCTCGTTTTATGTTACTCGACAATTAATGAATTATTGCAGATTAATTTAAAAACGGACCAAGTTTCTTTCTTAACAATAAAAATGATGAATAGAGCACCTATACCGGGTGTCTGGAAAATGGCGGATTAACTCTGCGCTACGCTCATAACAATCAACTGGTGAGTCTGGAAAAAATAGTAAAAAAAATCCTTCTAGCATTTTGGTGGAGTTATAATAATTTTAAAATTGCTTTCAATTCATTCATTATCACAATAACTAGTAATAAAACTTTTAGTTAATATTTTTCTCGCCCATGACTATGTTTAATTACCATTTCAGATAGAATACACAAAGATATGGCTGTATTGTCTTTGTAATAATTTGATAAAATTCCATTTGACAACAATGTTTGCCTGATATAAAGCGAAGGTGGATTTTAGTCACCATTGTTACTAAGAAACCAGAAAGTAAGCCGGAGGTTTCCACGCATTAGGGATGTGCTGTGTTGCCAATTTTACGTTTATAAAATTACGTTTTATTTGCAATCTACATCATAAAGAATTTTTTCATTATTTTTTTGGGACTCCCGAAACTCCCGTATATAACGTACTGAAGAGTTAATCCGCCATTTTCCAGACAGGCGGTATACAACGAACCATTTATCGTTGTTAAGTGATAGACGATTCAGTTTACACTTATGGAGTTGACGATTACATAAACAATAAGGGTCCTAAATTGGACACCTGTGGGATACCAGAAGTAGGAAAGATGGATTTAGAGCGAAAATTACAACATATAACAACTTGCTGCCTGTTCATAAAATATGATTGGAATAATGTGATCAAAGGATCTGAAAATCCATATTACCGCAACTTGTCGAGTAATATAAGTAGTGGTCAATTTTATCAAATGCTTTACAAAAGTCCATATAAATTGTATTCACTTAGCCACGATTATTATCAATTGATTCAAAAACAAATTGTGGAAGACATGCGAGGGTAGTTAGAATAGTTTTTTTTTCAAAAAATCCATGTTGATAAAGAGTAATAAATGGTTTAACAGTAGAATAAATTTGTTTGTACAACAATAGACCTGTAACTCTCAACATAATAGTTAGGTCACATCTCCTGATTTAAATACCGGACAAATGCTAGACGTTTTTACTAAAAATGGGGTATTAAATACTGTTTTAAAATGGAGTTGAATATTTTTGAAAGATGAGTCACTGAAATATTTGCACAATCCAAAAGTAAAAAACTAGGAATACCATCTGGGCCCGTCCACTTAACGCTGTTAAAGACCACCCCGTTCTGAAGTGTGCATGTTACGCTACTGACTGACAGCCCGTTGTCAGATTCTGATGACTCACTATGTTGAAATAATTCATCTCTAACAACTCTTGTGCTTCATCACTTGGCCATAGCAACCTGACGCTCATCAAAAGAATGTCACGTAGAAATTAGTTTGATTTGAATGAGTTTGTCTTCTCAAAACACATCAGGACTAAAATTATTAATTAATCCACAATCAAACAAAATATCCTGAATATTATAATTCTTATTTTATCAATTATTGTTATATAAAGACGTGCGTATTCTTCACATTTTGGGAAACTAGTTGTTAATTTGACCTATAAAAAATGTGTAACGACGTCATCAACATGGATAATACCTACTACTCAAAGCACAAAAGAAAAGTATTCAGTGTATTATCAGTGCAAGAAAAAACAAGGACACGTATATCAAGTTGGATTGGTGCAATGTAATACTAAAATAATACATAAATAGACATATTTACAAAGCTTACGTTGTACTCGTTCTATAGTCGTAGAGAGCGGATTTATAAGCACAAAAAAATTAAGAATAAGCGCTTAAATAAGCACAACATTTTCAATAAAAAAGTTTTATTTTAAGCAAAAAAGCACTAAAAACATAATCATATTACAAATCAAAGAACACTTCTTAGAACTTTGGATAAAATATTATTACAATAATCCTAGACTTTATATTTTACACACGTATTTCAGTTTTCTTTAAAACAATTTATGATTGTAATATGTTCCAAGTTGTCCACTGCAAAATTTTTTCGCCGATCATTTAAAATGTGTTTAAAATTGGAGAATGTGCGTTCAACATCCACACTCGTTGTTGGCGAAAATTTGAATTTTGCAACTAATGTTGAATCTAACTCCAAATTTTCCACCTTCTGGCCTTGTAAAACACGAGCAACGTCGGAAAGAACACCGAAACCTGTATTTTTATTTAACACTTGGTCAAGTTTTTGAGATACTCTAGTACCAATATCACCCCTTACTGCGTTTGCTTGTTGTTTAAATTCTTTCACTAAGTTTATGGCATCTACCAACAACATGTTGGGTTTTTCTAACTTTTCTATTACCTCACATACGAATTGATAATTGCTTCTTAGAAAAGCTAGATCTTGTCGCAAATCTTTCTTTTCCAAAATATTTATGCAATCTTTAATCGATTGAGAAGAATCTTCGCCAAACTCCGTAACTAATTCCTCAAATTCTTTGATATATTTGTCATAATAAAATGTGGCCTGTAACCATGTTCCCCACCTCGTTATAATCGGCTCTGGGGGCAATGGTATGTTTGGAAATTTTTCCTTAAAACGTTGCACTCTTAGTGGGGCTTTAACAAAAATCTTTTTACCATTTGCCACTGATTTATTAACAGTAGGAAACTGCAAACGTATTTCTTGAGCCACTCTGTTTAAACCGTGGGCAATGCAAGTAGAGTGAATTAAATTGGGGTACAATATTTTTAGATTATTCCCTGCTTTCAACATATAACGAGCTGCATCCGAGATCATCAATAAAATTTTATTGGCAAAAATAGTGACGTAAGACTGTCATTTACAAATCTGGTAATCGTATTGCCATTTGTTTTATCTAACATTTTCAAATTTACTACATACCCTCGACTAGGGAAATTTTCATTTAAGATTCCAACAATTAAACTTGCCACGTATCTTCCACAACTATCGGTTGTTTCATCGACAGCGAACCATAAATAATTATCTCCAATGCGATGTTTAATTTCGTTGTAAACTTGCTGAAACACTGGGCCTACATAATTTTTTCGGAGAGTACTTTCAACCGGAATATGTCGATTGCAGTGTTTTTCAAGGAATTCTTGAAGAGGGCCTTTCTCTAATTTTTTTAAAGGTATATTGGAGTGGATCATTTTACATAAATCGAAATTAAACCGAAACTGCTCATCTTTTGTGGAAGTAGATGCAACAGATTCATGTATGGTCTGCTGTTTAATTTTAGAAACTTTAAACATTTTCTTCCTTTCTACATGAAGAGTCGTTCTGACATGTTGCGTCACGTTATATTTTTTATCACTTTGAACCTAAAACAACGTACATATACAGGATTAACAAAGGAAAATAGATAAAAAAAAATTAGTGGGCTGAGGGTTTTCACACAAGCTCTGCAGAATATTTTGTTGTTTTCTAATTTTAATTCTGGAAAATCCCTTATCCACTCATCCGGCGTCGATTTTACTTTCGGCATTCTTTTAAAATATTAGTAATATTATCAAAAAGAACTCAACATGTAACAAGGGAGAACCACGTATAACACTGTACTACGACAGATGCGATCGACTGATGGTTGTGAAATAAACGGTTCATTTACTTAAAAGTTTCCATTAGAAAAATTTTAAGGTAGGTAGTTGGGTACAATAATCCTTTTTTCTAGAAAATCTTCACCGGTCTTGTCGCAAAATGCCGAAAAAAAAACATCTGGTTAAAAACTTTAATTCATTATCAACGGAAGTAAGAATTTAAAGTCATAAAATCTATGGAGTATTTTCCCAATCCTATAATAAAATTTTATTACCCAAACGACCAGAACCTATTCACAGAAAGGGTCTTGAGTAAGTGTACTTCAATGGTCAAGTCCAGGTAAAATGCATACGATACGATACGGCTAACTAACAAGTATTTGTCATCCCGACAAGGCCGGCATTTGAACAAAATATGCATTAAAACTCATATTCGTCGAAAAAAGCATTAAATAAGCATATAAGTTTTAGTATGCATAAAATTAAAAAAAAAAGCAAATAAGCATTAAAAAAAATGTGTCAAATGACTCCAAATTGTATCATAGGTACAGATATAAAAAAGTTTTGAAGTGCTTACACTTTTCACAAAAAACATTAAACCTAAAAATCCGCTCTCTATTTATGACTTTGTTTGTCTAGTTGGGTCCTCAAACCATAACACTTTGTGATTTCGGAAAACTGCACATCAAAAATGTTATATTTGGACATAAACAGTTTATTTGATATATTTTTAAAACATTATAAGGAAAATAAAAAGTTAGACTGAACCTTGTGGGTTTCTCAATCAATTTTCTGCAGCGTTTTAAACTTTCAACTCAATTTCTTTCAAAATACTACAAATGGATTTCGACCGTTATTCCCCTGTACTCTTCATTTGGAAATAAATAAGCTCATCTGGTGTTGTTTACAAATTTCCTCCTCTCATGGGTCGGTACCTGCGGTGGGTTGCTACTTTGAGTTGCATTGTTACAAAAAATAATTCTTCTCACTGGAACCGATTTTGTATGCCAGGCTCCTGATAAGAAAATGTGTCATTGTAAAAACTTGAAAATCCAGAAATTTTAATGGATCATATAAATAATAAGCAAGAATTGTATATTAAATGTGTATATACAAGATGTTGCAAAGGTCAGGCGACGGAAAATTATTATTTAAAAACGGTAATCAAAATTTGTCTAATCATGCCCACGAAGAATGTGATTACATCCCCTTGTATAGTGAGAGCTATTTAATTTTTTTTAAATAACGTACCTGTATCGTTGTGGTTTATGAATCAGCCTTTTTACTCTCGCGTCTAGATTTTGGCAAAAAACAAAAATTAAATGGTATTACAACAAATTATCTACGATTTGATAACAAAAGTACGCAGAAAAATGATAATAAAAAAGAATAACGAACACAAAATAAGAATAAAATACTCC